TTTATAGGATGTTTCAGAATCAAAAGCACAGCTTGTTAGGCATCAGGTTTCTCTTTAGTTCCAGAACACCCCATAACTAGTGATTCGAAGCTCCAACCTCTGGGGGTTTCACTTCACCAATCAGTCAGTGCCACAGGCTGGAACGTGAGGAAGTGCCAGAGCATGCTGGCTCTGGCTGATCATGATGTCGCCCTGAAAGGGCACCCTAACTATGAACTTTGAGAAGCATGGCTCCATGTCTAATTTTTTTAATACTGATATTTTGGGATAGTATGTTCAATTATATTTCAAATAAACAAAATGGGGTCATGAGGGAACATTACTCTTGTGGGAATAAAAAGCTTGACAAATGAAAAGAACTAGAAGTAGATGTGATGGCTAAGATCCCATAGTCAGGGCACCTCCTAGGGTTCAGGATGTGGAATCCCAAGAGGAGATGTAGAGAGAACGCAGAATGGTTTCTCATGGGGCAGGGTAGGTGGGGCGAGGGATTGCCCTGAGGTCTCTGTGTGTCCACTGGAGGTGAAAAGTGTTACTCACATAGCACTGAGAAGTGACCCTCAAACCAGGGGACTCTAAGAGAACTTCATCAATATGAATCTAATCACATGTCCTCATATGTACCATTTCTTTATGTATAAGACACAGGTACTACTGCAGTGATACACCATGCACAGTACAATCCAGGCACAAATAACCATGTTAAAAAGGATGACATGAAATGAATGTAAACTGAAGCTCTACTATTTTCACCTGGCACCCCAGTGGATGGCATCATTCACCACTCCTTGGTCCTCTGTGCCATCCCAAAGTTCAAAGTCTGTATACATATGGAGGAGGAGCCACATGAACCCTGCTGACCAACCTTCATGTCCCTAGGGTAGTCCATACGTTTCCAATGGCAGTTAATTGAAATAGTTATTTCTTTAAAAATCCAGATGACTTGCTGACTGAGACTTAGGAGAGTCTGCCCAACAGCCTCAACAAGTAAACGTTTTTGGAAGCACAGGGATTATTCTTAGAATGCTGCACATTGTGGTCTTTTTTTTTTTCTTCTTATGTTACTGGAACTTTCAGGCTAAAATTATGTTTTCTATCTTGCTGACTCCATGAGGACCACAGACTTGGCCACATGCTTTTCAAAGAGCCTAACATTTCCAGTACATTAATAGCCAGAGAATGCTGTGGCCTTGTAGCTTCAGAAATGTCAACTCTACAGCACACGTCTGCATTCCTTTAGTTGCTTTTTGTGATCATAAAGCACATGTTTTACACATAGTAATCAGATGACCTAGTCTAATGCCCTCAGGGCAAATGACTAGGAAATGAAAGAATCAGAGCTAGAACCCAAACTCCTGACTCCAGAGTAGCTCGCTCTCTACCACAGTCACTTTTTGGTTCTCAGATTTCCCCTTCATTCTTCCCTGGCTTCAGGATGAATGGGTGGCTGGAAGCACAGAGCTGAGCTCTCAATTCTAAAGGGAATAGTCCCTAAAACTCTTTGGGTCTGCATTAATGGCTGTGCTACCTCAAAAATGGCCTTGAGGTAGAGATATGACCTATCTGCCATATGGAAACATGTGCTAAGCTCTGTACAACTTTGCCAATTTGCTAGACATTCCTGACAGTCTGTCCTTTAGGGACAGTCCCTGCAATCTGGCTAGAGCTTCCAAAGGTCTTACCACAAAGAAAGAAACTCCCTAGTTGAAAGAGTGAAGGACAAAGTGGGTTCAGAGGAAGGACACAGGTCATCTCAATTGCTTGAATATGCTGCCTTCTCTACTTTGTCTTTCTGTCCCTAGTTGACGTGTCTTCTCCTGCTGATAAGGTTTGGTTCTGTGTCCCCACCCAAATCTCACCTTGAATTTAATCCCCATAATCCCCACATGTCAAGGGCAGGACCAGGTGGAGGTAACTGAATCTTGGGGGCAGTTTCCCTCATGCTGTTCTTGTGATAATGAGTGGGTCTCATGAGATCTGATGGTTTTATAACTGTCTGGCATTTCCCCTGCTTGCACTCATTCTCTCTCCTGCCGCCCTGTGAAGAGGTGCCTTCTGCCATGATTGTAAGTTTCCTGAGACCTCCCCAGCCATGCAGAACTGTGAGTCAATTAAACCTCTTTTCTTTATAAATTACCCAGTCTCAGGTATTTCTTCATAGCAGTGAACTGAATAATACACCTGCTATCGGCCATAATGAAAGAGGGCTGGGAAAGAAGTATACTATGGTAAACCTTCAGTGGATGTCACAAATTCCAAGCAGTATTTAAGCATCCTTTTTAGGGGAAGAGTTGGGAAAGGGCTGATTTACCAGAATAAGATTTCAGATACAGAGAACCTCTTTCAGGACATGGATGGTTTATGTCTCTTCCCACCTCTGGGTTTTGCAGCTGCCTTTGCTAGCCAGTCATGGTGGTGGCTTGTGGATATGTATTCAGGCAGGACAGGCAGGGGTTGTCTCTCTTTTTAGGAGTATGCTCTCAGACAATGGTGCCCTTTTTTACTGTGCTAGTCTAAACCAGGTGCAAGACCCCACAGTGAAAAAGCAGGTGGCCAGGCTCACAGGCCGACTTCCTCTGCTTCCCATCTCTCTCTCACACTTGCCAAAGAAGAAGTCACTCAGGCAGCCAGATGCTCTGGCATCTCACTCCCACCTGCAGATAAATTTTCATTTGCCCCTCACATACCTGGGACTCTGCTTGTACTGTAGCAGAGCTGGAGGAATGGGAAGTGAGGGGAAGGAGCTATGATAAAAGATCTGCTCCTTCTCTTTTTTCTAATTCCCTAGAGGATAATGTGTAAACTTGAACAAGTTGGGTAAGGAGTAGCCCAGAACCCTACCCACCCACCCCAACCAATCTCAGAACTGACATATGGTTCTATGTAACGTGAGAGAGATCAGGGAGGCCAGGATCATTATCTTCAAGTATGCTAAAGCATGCCGTGTTACAGGGGATGAAGGTGCAGAAAACACAGAATAAGACCAATGGATGGGAGTGACAGGGACAGATTTCAGTTCAATATTGGAAAAATGCCTAACAATAAGGCTCTCCAGCAATGGGACAGGCTCTCTAGAGAGCTGCAACTATCACTGAGGTATTAAAAGAGAAGGCCGTGTTACTCCAATCAATGAGAGAAAGTATGTATGTGTTTGTGGCAGGTGGTTAGATGTTTCCATTCTATGACGCTAAAGACCGCATAATACTCTGTCCAATCATCCATCAGTGTTGACCGTTTTACAAAGCCCTGTAGCATTACAACATCCTCCAAGAGGAAACCAAGTTAATTTTGGAAAAGAAGCTGCCCTTAGGTAACAAAATAAATCAGGTGGGAGGGAAGAATACTGGCATACAGTTGGATGACGCCTATGTCTACATAATCTCTATGCACCACCTTCCTCACTTGTACATTGCAAAGGTGATGGTAACAACAGGTAACTGATTGCTTGCTATGGGCCAGACACTGTTTTAAATACTTCTATTAACTTGCTTAATTTTCACAACTCACTCTTTTACTTATGCAGCAACACAGAGAAAGAGACTAAGTGACTTACTTAAGGCCATACAGCTAGTAAGAGGGAGAATCAGAAGTTAAGCCCTGGTAGACATCCACACATTATGTCCAGGCACTCACAACAGTGTCTGGTATAAAGTAAGGGCTCAAGAGAGAGAATTCCAGAGCTGTGCTGTGTGACATTATGCAAAGCAACCGAAGTTCTCTATGCCTGGTGTTCTCATCTGTAAAATGGGTGTACGAATGTGTATCTTATAGAGAGGCCCAAAGACAAATGATTTAATACATATAAAATGTTTAGAGAATGGTGGCAAATAATAAGTACTCAACAAAGGTTACCTAATGTCACATAAACATGCCCTTGATTACAAATACATAGACAGGTGGTTAATATCTTAATATAATATAAAGCTATGCCTATGTCTGTAATATCCATACATAAAGGGCAATCACTCAAAAAGAGTCCCAGTGGAGTAATGAGGCATCACTACCAACCACTTGACCGTATAGCAGAGAGTTTGTTTATCTGATTGCTTTGTGCTTAATCAAACCACACCTTGTCTCTCCATAGGTCAATTCTATTACATGATGGAGGCCTTCCTTTCCTTCCTTCCCCTCCCTTCCCCTTCCCCTTCCCCTTCTCCTTCTCCCTTCTCTTCTCTTTTCTCTTTTCTTTTTCTTTTTTCTTTCTCACTCTGTCACCTGGGCTGGGAGTGCAGTGGCATAATAATGGCTCACTGCAGCCTTGACCTCCTATGCTCAAGCCATCCTCCTGCCTCAACCTCCCGTGTAGCTGGGACCATAGGCATGTGCCACCACATCTGGCTAATTTCTTATGTAGAGATGGGGTTTTACTTTGTTGCTTAGGCTGGCCTCGAACTCCTGGGCTGAAACAATCTGCCCGCCTTGGCCACCCAATATGTTAGGACTACAGGCACGAGCCACCATGCCTGGTCAGATGATGGAGGCTTTTCTACAGATCATTATTCTCCCTGGAAACCTGCCTCTCAATTTCTCCCTGAACCTTGAATCAAGTGAATTTTCCAAGATTTGTATAAATGAAAGAGAGAGCACTATCAAAACAACCTTGGAGACAAAATGGGATGTTTTCCATTGCATCTTTTTTTTTTTTTATGAGACAGAGTCTTGCTCTGTCACACAGGCTAGAGTGCAATGGCGCGATCTCAGCTCACTGGAAACTATATCTCCCGGATTCAAGTGATCCTCCTGCCTCAGCCTCCTGAGTAGCTGGGATTAGAGGCCACCATGCCTGGCTAATTTTTGCATTTTTAGTAGAGATGGGGTTTCACCACGTTGGTCAGGCTGGTCTTGAACTCCTGACCTCATGTGATCCACCTGCCTTGGCCTCCCAAAGTGCTGGGATTACAGGCATAGGCTACTGCGCCTGCCCGACAGTGAATTCTTTTGCTAGAATCTGGAGAGCTAAAGGCCCACTGCCAGGGAGGCAGAAGGTGCTGCTGTCCTACCTGGTGAGCTTGGTGCCAATCTGTTGCCTCAGCTCCAGCCGCTCCTCATCCGTCTGCCTGGGAAGGATGTTCTTTTCTTCCAGCTCTCGCTTGGAGGGCCTGTTGCTGAGTTTGATGGCTAAGGAGTCCTTCCTGCAGACCTTCATGGCCAGGGAGCCTGTAGGAGAGAGAAATGAATCAACTAAGGCTGAAGTATCTGCCTGGGCTCCCACAGGGCCAACCCTGGGCCATAAGATACAAGGCAGGAAGGAAGTCATCAACGCTTTAACACCTGAAAGTGGTTAAGGCCTCAGTTCCTAGAGTTCCTGCCATTGCCACACACTCTACCCCCCTAGCACTGTGTGGGGCACATGGACAGCATACGGGGAGCCTGTGATTGGGTCTCTGCTCTCCAGGAACGCCTAGCATGCAGGCGACATCACAAAGGAGGGCAGGACTGGCTGTGGGGTGCAGTGGACTGCAAAGGGGGAGACAGGACAGAGGCCTTTAGCAATTAGGGGAAGTTTCACGAGGAGGAGGGGCTGACACCTGAAGCAGAGATGAGAGTCCAACAGGCAGCAGGTGGGCGGGGATCTGTGTCTGCAAAAGTTCAGTGGTGAAGGCTACACCAGGAAATCTCAAGAGACAGAAAAGATCAACTACACTGGAGCTGGGGGCATGTGAAGGAGAAAAAAGGTAGGTGGACAAAGTGGGGCTGGTTGGGGGTGGGAGTGGAGGTGAGGGCTTTGAAACAGGCAATATCCTGGGGTGGGTTTTTTCTTTTTAACCCCAGGGTTTCTGAGCAGCTGAGGCAGGGCTTCCCTACATCTGGTATAGATCAGTGGTTCTCAACCAGTGGTGATTTTGCTCCCCAGGGGTCACCTGGCAATATCTCAAGGCATTTTTGGTTGTCAAAACTAAGGTGGCAGGCAGAGGGTGCTACTGGCATCTAGTGGACAGAGGCCAGGGATGCCTGTAAACACCCCACAGTGCACAGTATGGCCCACACCAAAGAGTTATCTGGTCCCACATGCCAGGAGTGCTGAGGTTGAGAAACCCCGTTATAAAACATTCAGTTCTCTGGATACTGAACAGCAAAACAGGGGCTGAGCAGTTGCTCCCTCCATTCATGGATCATTGAGGTCTTTGGCTGCCCTGTGTGGTTCTTTCCTTGACATCATTTGGATCCCTTCAAAGCTTGCCAGGTCTCACACGGAGCCAGCTATTTGAAGCCTGGTAAGTAGAGAGCAAGAGAAAACGCCAGCAGGCAACAAGTCTGAGGATGCCTTTGGGCTTTATTGTGTAGTGCTTTTCTTCTTTCTTCCTCCGCTGGTTTTAGAATATAGGCTTTAGAATGTGACAGAGCCTGCATCAAACCCCAGCATTGCCCCTTAGCAGATGTGAGGCCCTGGGCCTGTGCCTTGCTTCTCCATTTTCTGCCCTTATCTGTAAAATGAGGCAATAGCGTCCATGCCTCAGGGTTGTGAGATGTAGGTGAGAGATTAAAACCATAGCCCATTGTCAGGCACACAGTACATGTTCAATGCATGGTTGCTATTCTCGTAAGTTCATTTATTAAAAAGTTGGCCAAATATCAGGCTGTACTCACGTAACTAAAATTTATTTACTGTTCATGGCTAGAGTGATAGGTTTTGAACTTTGCTTTCTTCATTTTTTCTCTTGTCTCTTAGCACATTTAAAGGTCATAAATAAGAAATTTAAATTGAGGCCTTCAAAGTTGCTGAGGTATGCTTAAAAACTGAATTTGTTGCATATACAGTGGGTAGTATTTGAGTGTTTGCTAGACAGACAGAGTTTTAAACTTCTTTTTTTTTTTTTTTGGGTCGCGGGAGAAGTTGCATCCTAAGGGAAGCAACAAAGAATAAGCCATTTAAAGAGGTAGGAGGTGGTGGTAATTTTTAGAGCTAGGAGGGCATTTACCCTCTCTTCTTACTGATGTAGGAACTGAGGCCCCAAGAGGTAGACTAAGCTGCCCTACGACCCAGGACCATTCAACACCAGAGTGGGGATTAGAACCCAGAATGCTGGGCTGCTGGGTCCGCTCTCTGCTCTCTTTCCACAATAGCATGCTTCCCCACCCCTGGTGAAGAGTTAAGATGAACGCACTGGTGTATAATGAGCTGTCATCGTCTTCGTCCTCCTCCTCTTCCTCCTCTTCTCTTGTGTACAGGCAAGAAGAGTCTTCGTAGTCTGACTCGTGAGGCACATTTTCTTTATTGTCATCACATTCAATCACAACAGTTGGCACTTGTCTTATTTCTGGAAGGCCCATAGGTCCTGCTTTGGTGACCCCGTCACCCGAGTGCAACCCAGAGCTGTGGTAAGAAGTGGAACAGGGGACCCGCTGCTCAGAGCTGTTTAAAGACAAGGAGGAAAGAGGAAATTCATTTTGGCTAACGTGCTCTATAAATGCATCAAAACTATTTTAAAACTCAGTTGTTTAGTCCTAAGAGACAAAGGGTCTACTGGGCAAGTAAAGTTCCACTGCTCATCTTACAGGGAATCATTTTAAGACGGCACCATTTCCTGATGGGAATAGAAAATAATAAATGCAGCTCCTCGTGAGTGGTGTGATGGTTGCACAATGATGTGAACGTACTTAATGTCATTGAACTGTATGCTTTAAAATGGTTAAGATGGCAAATTTTATGTTATCTGTATTTGCCATAATTAAAAAAATTAAAAGCAAAGGTAAAGCATTAATCTGATAGTGAAGCTTCAGTTTCAGGAGAGAAAGATAATAATTGAGGTTCTAGTTTTCTAAAGCTACACAGGGCGACTGATAGGGACTGAGTGTGTGAAAGACTGAAATGCTGTGGCTGGAGATGCTGAGAAAGGGAAGAGGGGGATGGACAGAAGGCCGGAGACCGATGCACGACATCGTCAGCGATGACCTACAGAAAGTGATCTCCCACAGGGAGCCACAGGTAATGCCAGTCTGGATATTTTGCAGGTCAGCTTTCTAAGAGGCATCGAGGATGATGTTTTTGGTTCTACTTCTTAAGTTGAACCAACTTGGATCAAATATCTTTATTAACTAAAAAAGCTATACTGCTGGGCGTGGTGGCTCATGCCTGTAATCGCAGCACTTTGGGAGGCCAAGGCAGGCGGATCATGGGGTCAAGAGATCGAGACCATCCTGGCCAACATGGTGAAACCCCGTCTCTACTAAAAATACAAAAATTAGCTGGGTGTGGCGGCACACACCTGTAGTCTTAGCTACTTGGGAGGCTGAGGCAGGAGAATCACTTGAGCCTGGGAGGCAGAGGTTGCAGTGAGCTGATATCATGTCACTGCACTCCAGCCTCGCAACAGAGCGAGACTCCATCTCAAAAAGAAAAAAAAAAAATCTACACAAGTTTGTTGTTCGAAAGTTAGTAAATGCATGTCATCAAAAATAAAGAAAATAATTATTTTCTGAATCCTCTAGCTGAGGATTATGTAGTAACTTAGAACCCTTTTTATGACAGGCTTTGCATGAAATCTAGCAAGTATCATAAGAATATGAAGCCAGAAACCACAGTTAAATTTTGTAATTCTTTTTCAGATTAACTGGAAGTGGAATTTATATCTTTCATTTAAGGATTTCTAAACACAGGAAACTCAATGCATTTTACCATCCAAAAGTGTTTGACATGCATAAGGAAATGGAGCATGAGGTTATATTATATATCAGTAAGTTCTACATTTGAATATTTTATCCAAAAGAAATCTGACTTAGGACATATGAATACATGCCTCTCCTCTGAAACTTTCAATTATGCTTTAAATTATTGCTATGCCTAATGTAAATTCAATTAACTTCCTTCTTTCCATTGTTTCCAAAGAGCTGTTTTTCTCTTTGTAGTTTTCACATAACTCTTCAGTGACACAAATGGAAAAATCTAGTTAACACATTATGAGCTATGATGTTCAACGCAATGAACTAAATCAACTTAAAAAAAGCCAACTACTGAATAGTATTAAATCATATATTTATAAAAATGCAGCATCTTATTAGTGGTTTACCACATTAGTGGTTTACGTCGGTCCATTTCCCACCTAATTTAATACAAATGACAATGGGAGCAGGAGGGTGAAGTCCCCAGAGTGGCAAAGGGTGATGGGAGTGGGGCTAGGGACTTGGTGCTCACCCTGCAAAAGCAGCCCTTTTATCAGTGACAGCCACTCCATTCCAACTGCGCTTGGATTTCCACATTGGGTATTATAGGAAGTAAGGATGGAAGAGGCAAAAAAATGTAATTCCATGGCTCATATTTTGCCCAAATCCTGTCTTTCTTCTCTCCACTTTCTAATTAGCAATGGTTTAATTAGCAATGGTTCCTATAAAGGCACAGAGCTAGGGATAACGGAAGCCGGGAGCTGGGGATGAAAGCAGTCAATAGATATTCTTGTTTGGTGGGAAGAATCTTTTAAGGAAAAAAGTTGGAAACCAGAAAGCATGAGTTTCCTTAAGGTAGAAGGCTCCAAGTTGATTCAAGAAGATAAAGAAGAGAAAAAAACGCAAAGGAAGATAAGAAACTCCACGTCATAGGTGGTGTGTGATCAACAAGAGGCTGTGGTTTCTTCTCTTTCAAAGATACATGGGCAGCGTGAGACCTTCTTAAATAGGATGGGATTAAATGGAGGGCAGCTGGCTACTTTGAAAGGTACCAGGTACCATGCTACTGGGTTTGTCAAATAGGGATTGGTCAAGTGGCCAATGACTGCCTGTTGGGGCACTAGAGAAACAGCTAAAGACCTCTGGGACCAATCAGGTCATCTTCTTGATGTGTGAACCCTAGCATGTTCTTGAATGCCTAATTTTCCTTAAGAATGAAGGAGGTAGCTAGGTGAATCCACCAAAAGAATTGTAAAACATTCTATTAATAAATATCCACTGAATGCCAACTATACATCAGGAAGAGTCCTGAGAAGAAGACAAATGCCCCGATAAACCCACCCCTTTTGTAACTATGGAGAACCACAGGAGAGCAAGAAAAGAAAGGAGAGTACAGGAGTTAGCTGAGAAGGAGGCTGGGAAGGTTAACATGTGGCCTCAGTTTGGGGAGTCAAGACAGATCTGGGTCCATGTTTTGCCACTTACTGTCTTCTTGACACTGGCCACATTGTTTAACCTCTGAATCTTGGCTTCCTCAACTGCAAAACGGGGTAAATCATGCCTTTTTTGTAGGGCTGGTGCATGTGAAGTCACCTGTTGACACGGCCTCAAATGAGACCCTCACTGGTTATTGACAGACATGGCCTTTCAAGTGGTTTCACAGCATGCTCAGTTTCAGTCCAGTCTCCAGAGCTGTTGGAGCGACTTTCTAAAACTCGGATCTAAGAGCCTCACCCAAGAGAACTTTGAAAGCCTCTCAAGTCTACAAAACTACTGCTCTGGGAGTGATGCAAATGAAAATTCAGTTAACGCATCATGAACTGTACTATTTGAGGCACAGAACCAAATCAACTCAAATGCAGCATCTTATGACACGTGGCCTCTGCCCCGCTGGTGACGGACACCCAGCAGAACATCAGTCTCTGTAGCACGAGTTTTATATAATATAGTTATCCACTAGATCTGCTCTAAATACAGGCTCTAATTCCAAAAGGAAGGTGAAAACCATTAGCCTGCAAACAGTAGCTTAAACATAGTGTCATGTGCCTGCCACACCCTACATAATTTGGCCCAAATTATTAACACAAACTCATTCCCACTTCTTTACTTCTGTCTCCAAACAACTAATCCCTTAATCACCTGCAACTATGCATTCAATGCTCTTGCCCTGGAATGTGTTCCCAAACCATCTTCACCTCATTCATTCCTATTTCTCAATACTTGTCTCAGTCAATGCCTTGCCTGTGTTTACAGGAGAGTCCTCAGGTGTGAAAACCATGATCATCTGTTTGCTTACTATCTTCTCTTCACCACCCAAGGCTGTAGGCTCCTTGGGGCAGAAGCCATGTCTTCTGTTTGTATCTGGGGCAGAAGCCACGTCTTCTGTTTGTATCTGGTTCCTATTACCATGCTTAGTGCCTAGTATCGTGCCTGACAAAAAATAGATGCTCAGTAATTGTCTATTGCTTTAGCCGAAGGAAAGAAATACAGGCTGAAATGACTGATGTTTAGGTACATTTGTAAGCAGTTGGCAAAACATGTTCAAAAGGTATTAACTAAGGGATTGTTTTTTAATTTTCAGAGAGGCATCTAGTGGTGTGCTGCAGGGATGTGGTGCTCTAGACTTGGTTAGCATCTTTATCAATGGCAATGATAAAAAGGGCATTCTCAATGAATAAATGGAAGAATTGAAGGAGAGAAGGAAAGAAGGGAGAGTGAATAGAGAGAACATTTACTAAATGTGTAATTTTCACCCACAGTGTTGCATTTCACCTTTCCAACAACTGTACAGGACAGGTGCTGTTCTCCCCATTTTACGAAGCAGGAAATTGACGCTCTGAAAGGGTAATTGAATAGGCCCACAAGGACACAGTTGGTAAAGGAAGGGCTTGAAATTTGAACCCACTCTATTACAAATTCTGCATGCAAAAGTTGAACTGTGATACTTATGAGATGTGTTTTTTGATAAAACACAAACCCCACTAAATGTACCCATGCAAGACAGAGGAAATATCATGCCTTGTCAACGTGTGTGAAAAATGGGCATTATTACTTTATAACTATTTTAAGTCCTACTAACTACTGCCATGCCCCAAGCCACTCCTGGGGCACTGAGTTTAATACTCAGGGCATTCAGGAGACCCATCCATTCACCGATCACCTTGGCTGCTTTTGCACCAAAATAGCAGAGTGGAGTAGTTGCAACAGAGCTGAAAATATTTACTGTCTATCTGGTTCTTTACAGAAAATGTTTTCTGAGCCCTGATCCGAACCAATGTTTTCTAAACTTTGATTATACTCCTACCTCCTTAATTTTTTGTGTATGGCATCTTTGAAGTCCATTTACACTACTATTTACTTTGTAATTTTTTAAGTCAGTGTGGTACTTTTAAAAAAACTTAAACACTATTGTAACCTCATCCTAAGCAAATGATATCTTTGTAATAACAGGTTTTATATGTAAATCATATAGGTTTATAACATGTTAAGATATATTTTTATATTTGTAATACATATATTTTCAATATTGATATATGCATAAGCACATATAATATTCAATAAAATATTAAAACTAACAAAAGGTTGTCCTAAACTCATTTTCTGTACCACCAATGATGCAGATATCACATTTTGGTTAAATGTTGGTCTAGCCCAGGCTTTTTCAACACAGGCATGACTGACATTTTGGGCCAGAAAATTCATTGCTTTGAGAGTTGTCCTGTTAATTGTAGTATACTTAGCAGTACCCCTGGC